TTTGATGGTAATATTTGTATAACACTAGCGATTGTTTCACGGTAATGTTTGTATGACACTAGAGATTGTTTGATGGTAATATTTGTATAACACTAGCGATTGTTTCACGGTAATATTTGTATAACACTAGCGATTGTTTCACGGTAATGTTTGTATGACACTAGCGATTGTTTCACGGTAATGTTTGTATGACACTAGCGATTGTTTCACGGTAATATTTGTATAACACTAGCGATTGTTTCACGGTAATGTTTGTATGACACTAGCGATTGTTTCACGGTAATATTTGTATAACACTAGCGATTGTTTCACGGTAATGTTTGTATAACACTAGCGATTGTTTCATGGTAATGATTGTAGGACACTAGCGATTGTTTCACGGTAATGTTTGTATAACACTAGCGATTGTTTCACGGTAATGTTTGTATAACACTAGCGATTGTTTCACGGTAATGTTTGTATAACACTAGCGATTGTTTCATGGTAATGATTGTAGGACACTAGCGATTGTTTCACGGTAATGTTTGTATAACACTAGCGATTGTTTCACGGTAATGTTTGTATAACACTAGCGATTGTTTCACGGTAATTTTTGTATAACACTAGCGATTGTTTCATGGTAATGTTTGTATAACACTAGCGATTGTTTCACGGTAATGTTTGTATAACACTAGCGATTGTTTCATGGTAATGATTGTAGGACACTATTAATTGTTTAATATTAATGTTTGTTTAGCAGTAGTGCTTGGATGTTTGTATGACACTAGTGATTGTTTAATAGTCAGGTTTGTATGACACCAGTGATTGTTTAAAGGTCAGGTTTGTGTGACACTAGTGATTGTTTAATAGTCAGGTTTGTATGACACCAGTGATTGTTTAAAGGTCAGGTTTGTGTGACACTAGTGATTGTTTAATAGTCAGGTTTGTATGACACCAGTGATTGTTTAATAGTCAGGTTTGTATGACACCAGTGATTGTTTAATAGTCAGGTTTGTATGACACCAGTGATTGTTTAATAGTCAGGTTTGTATGACACCAGTGATTGTTTAAAGGTCAGGTTTGTGTGACACTAGTGATTGTTTAATAGTCAGGTTTGTATGACACTAGCAACAGTTTATGGTAATGTGTGTATGACACTAGTGATTGTTTAATAGTCAGGTTTGTATGACACTAGTAATTGTTTAATAGTCAGGTTTGTATGACACCAGTGATTGTTTAATAGTCAGGTTTGTATGACACTAGTGATTGTTTAATAGTCAGGTTTGTATGACACCAGTGATTGTTTAATAGTCAGGTTTGTATGACACTAGTGATTGTTTAATAGTCAGGTTTGTATGACACTAGTGATTGTTTAATAGTCAGGTTTGTATGACACTAGTGATTGTTTAATAGTCAAGTTTGTATGACACCAGTGATTGTTTAATAGTCAGGTTTGTATGACACTAGTGATTGTTTAATAGTCAGGTTTGTATGACACTAGTGATTGTTTAATAGTCAGGTTTGTATGACACCAGTGATTGTTTAATAGTCAGGTTTGTATGACACTAGTGATTGTTTAATAGTCAGGTTTGTATGACACCAGTGATTGTTTAATAGTCAGGTTTGTATGACACCAGTGATTGTTTAATTGTCAAGTTTGTATGACACTAGTGATTGTTTAATAGTCATGTTTGTATGACACTAGTGATTGTTTAATAGTCAAGTTTGTATGACACTAGTGATTGTTTAATAGTCAGGTTTGTATGACACTAGTGATTGTTTAATAGTCAGGTTTGTATGACACCAGTGATTGTTTAATAGTCAGGTTTGTATGACACCAGTGATTGTTTAATTGTCAAGTTTGTATGACACTAGTGATTGTTTAATAGTCATGTTTGTATGACACTAGTGATTGTTTAATAGTCAGGTTTGTATGACACTAGTGATTGTTTAATAGTCATGTTTGTATGACACTAGTGATTGTTTAATAGTCAGGTTTGTATGACACCAGTGATTGTTTAATAGTCAGGTTTGTATGACACCAGTGATTGTTTAATTGTCAAGTTTGTATGACACTAGTGATTGTTTAATAGTCAGGTTTGTATGACACCAGTGATTGTTTAATAGTCAGGTTTGTATGACACTAGTGATTGTTTAATAGTCAAGTTTGTATGACACTAGTGATTGTTTAATAGTCATGTTTGTATGACAGTTGTGATTGTTTAATAGTCAGGTTTGTATGACACCAGTGATTGTTTAATTGTCAAGTTTGTATGACACTAGTGATTGTTTAATAGTCATGTTTGTATGACACTAGTGATTGTTTAATAGTCAGGTTTGTATGACACTAGTGATTGTTTAATAGTCAGGTTTGTATGACACCAGTGATTGTTTAATAGTCAGGTTTGTATGACACTAGTGATTGTTTAATAGTCAGGTTTGTATGACACCAGTGATTGTTTAATTGTCAAGTTTGTATGACACCAGTGATTGTTTAATAGTCAGGTTTGTATGACACTAGTAATTGTTTAATAGTCAGGTTTGTATGACACCAGTGATTGTTTAATAGTCAGGTTTGTATGACACCAGTGATTGTTTAATAGCCAGGTTTGTATGACACCAGTGATTGTTTAATAGTCAGGTTTGTATGACACTAGTGATTGTTTAATAGTCAGGTTTGTATGACACCAGTGATTGTTTAATAGTCAGGTTTGTATGACACCAGTGATTGTTTAATTGTCAAGTTTGTATGACACTAGTGATTGTTTAATAGTCATGTTTGTATGACACTAGTGATTGTTTAATAGTCAAGTTTGTATGACACTAGTGATTGTTTAATAGTCAGGTTTGTATGACACTAGTGATTGTTTAATAGTCAGGTTTGTATGACACTAGTGGTTGTTTAATAGTCAGGTTTGTATGACACTAGTGATTGTTTAATAGTCAAGTTTGTATGACACTAGTGATTGTTTAATAGTCAGGTTTGTATGACACTAGTGGTTGTTTAATAGTCAGGTTTGTATGACACTAGTGATTGTTTAATAGTCAAGTTTGTATGACACTAGTGATTGTTTAATAGTCAGGTTTGTATGACACTAGTGGTTGTTTAATAGTCAAGTTTGTATGACACTAGTGATTGTTTAATAGTCAGGTTTGTATGACACTAGTGGTTGTTTAATAGTCAGGTTTGTATGACACTAGTGATTGTTTAATAGTCAAGTTTGTATGACACTAGTGATTGTTTAATAGTCAGGTTTGTATGACACTAGTGATTGTTTAATAGTCAGGTTTGTATGACACTAGTGGTTGTTTAATAGTCAGGTTTGTATGACACTAGTGATTGTTTAATAGTCAAGTTTGTATGACACTAGTGATTGTTTAATAGTCAGGTTTGTATGACACTAGTGATTGTTTAATAGTCAGGTTTGTATGACACTAGTGGTTGTTTCATAGAAATATTTGTAGAACACGGGTGCTTTTCAGTGGTAGCCTTTGTACGACAGCAGTGATTGTTTAATATTGTTGTTAGTTTAGCAGTGGTGCTTGGATGATTGTAACGTTTTGTACTGTATGGCTTACACAACAGTTCTTGTATAAGACAATTAATGCTCGACTTAGTGCAAGTTTTGATTGTGTAAGGATGAATCTTATCTGCGAAAAAATAGACACTGCAATATTGCTGGTATGGTTATATAATTTGTATCACATTACTGATTGTAAGTTGTTTTTATTTTTTATTTTTTATTATTATTATTATTTTAATTTGACGCTGCTTGTTAACAATTAGTATGTTGTAGTAATGTTTAACAAGGAAAAAAAACTAAGGCAATTACTAATAAACTACAAACATTCCTTAACTGATACCTGCGCAGAATTGAGGGAATTAAATGGTGAGATAGAATCAGGGATATTGAGTTTGGGGAGATAAATAAACAAGTTCAAGTAAACGAAGAGGTTAAGAAGAGACACTGGCGTTGTATAGTACACACGTTTAGAAAACCTGAGAACAGTATAACTATAATATCTTCGCACTGGAACCTACGGGGGCATAGAAATAAAGAAAGACTCACAAAAACACATGGACAAGTGAGATAGAGGGTGAAGTTAAAAAAAATGGGGAGAACGTAGGGAGAGCTGCATGCAATAGCGAAGGATAGAACGACTTGTAGGGAGTTGGTTGTAGGCCTATGCTCCACTGGGGGTTAGAAGGGCAGAAGAAGAAAAAAAGAAGGTGATGAAGAAGCAGAAGAAGATGAAGAAGAAGAAGGCCTCAATGCCTGTAGCATTCATGTCCTACTCGCACATATTTTGTACACTTATTGTATATTGTATTATTTATTGGTATCTGATTGAAATAATGCGTACACGTGTCTGCTATACACAGTGACTACGTTTAGTATCTGATTGAGATAATACCTAAGTGTATCTGTAGACACAGCGCCTACATTTAGTATCTGATTGATATAATGCCTAAATTTATCTGTAGCAGTGCCTACATTTAGTATCTGATTGAGATAATGCCTAAGTGTATCTGTAGACACAGTGCCTACATTTAGTATCTGATTGAGATAATACCTAAGTGTATCTGTAGACACAGCGCCTACATTTAGTATCTGATTGATATAATGCCTAAATTTATTTGTAGCAGTGCCTACATTTAGTATCTGATTGAGATAATGCCTAAGTGTATCTGTAGACACATTACCTACATTTAGTATCTGATTGAGGTAATGCCTAAATGTATCTGTAGACACAGTGCCTACATTTAGTATCTGATTGAGGTAATGCCTAAGTGTATCTGTAGACACGTTGCCTACATTTAGTATCTGACTGAGGTAATGCCTAAATGTATCTGTAGACACAGTGCCTACATTTAGTATCTGATTGAGGTAATGCCAAAGTGTATCTGTAGATACAGTGCCTACATTTAGAATCTGATTGAGATAATGCCTACACGCTGCGTTTGAGATGTCACGTCTACCTGATGTGTCCATTGACTGCCACTTGTAACTCTCCTGCAGACAAAAACGCCACGATGAAAGTTGGACCACTTGAGGTGTTGCTGTGTGTCACTTGTGCCATTGTCATGAATAAGTGCGAAGGTAAACTTGTAGAGTCACACCTGGGCTCTCTCTCTCTCTCTCTCTCCCTCTCTCTCTCTCTCTCTCTCTCTCTCTCTCTCTCATCTTGTTCCTTGCCTCTTGCTCGCTCCCTCAGTTCTTACTTCCTTGACTCTCCCCTTTCCCATCTCTCTCTCTCTTTCTCTCTCTCTCTCTCTCTCTCTCTCTCTCTCTCATATCTTGTTCCTTTCCTCTTGCTCGCTCCCTCAGTTCTTACTTCCTTGACTCTCCCCTTACCCATCTCTCTCTCTCTCTCTCTCTCTCTCTCTCTCTCTCTCTCTCTCTCTCTCTCTCTCTCTCTCTCTCTCTCTCTCTCTCTCTCTCTCTCTCTCTCTCATATCTTGTTCCTTTTCTCTTGCTCGCTCCCTCAGTTCTTACTTCCTTGACTCTCCCCTTACCCATCTCTCTTGTTCTCTTTCTCTCTCTCTCTCTCTCTCTCTCTCTCTCTCTCTCTCTCTCTCTCTGGCTCTCTTTTTCTTATCACTCACACATCTTTCTATCTTATTTCCTGAAGCGTATATTGCTAAGGTTGAGAACGCATTTTATAATCCCGACATACCGTGTTCGAAGTCAGCTGCTGGAAATTTAACAGCAGACAGCTTTGCTTTAATTTAAGTCATAATATGAACGTTGTACCATTATGAAAGCAAGGACAAACTATTTAACTACTAAAACATCAGTCAACAAATTTTGAAACTGGTTTACCAAATCCTGTAAATGATTTGCGCTGCCTTATTTATTATATTACTGTCTTTTAGGAATACGTAAAGGTGGGGGGGGGGGGGGTCGTTTGTTAACCTGTAGATTTTACGACCACCTGGCCAGTGCACGAATGTGCAGGTTGAGAATTTACTTTTCTCAACAGAGGGAAAACTATCCCAACACTTTACAGAGGACTCGAACCCAGGTCTTCCAAATGAGTGGGGGTGGAGGAGGCAAAAAACTGTAACAGACAGGATTATTGCTACAGTAGGCTCCCCAACCACCAACATCGACCAGAAAGAACATTCGGCAAGCTAGTGACTATGATTTAGTTTCGTATCCAATCATCTCCCTTAGCCGTGTCACGAAGATTGTTATATGGTTTTAATCTGTACAATCGGTACAAGTGCACGAATTAAAGTAGCTCGCATTGCGACCTATTCATTCGCTTGCTCATTTGTCTTGTGAATTACGTCGTTACAAAAGATGACATTCATTGTTACGTTTACTGACTGTTACGTTGAATTTCAATTCGTTTGATTTCCCAACGAACGCCGTGTCGATAGTGTTCAGTGTTGAACTTTTTTCAGTTGTAAATTCCTCTTCTTCTCCTTTTTTTTTTTTTTTTTTTTTTTTCTGCTGCTGCTGATGTTGCTTCTTCTTCTTCTTCTTCTTTTTCTGCTTCTTCTTCTTCTTCTTTTCCTTCTTCTTCTTCTTCTTCTTGTTCTTCTTCTAATTCTTCTTCTTCTTCTTCTTCTTCTTCTTCTTCTTCTTCTTCTTCTTCTTCTTCTTCTTCTTCTTCTTCTTCTTCTTCTTCTTCTTCTTCTTCTTCTTCTTCTTCTTCTTCTACTTCTTCTTCTTCTTCTGCTGCTGCTGCCGGTGCTACTACTTTTCTGTTTGTCCTTTAATGGGTGGTTGGTACGCTGTGCTGGGATTTACAGCTACGTTGTGATATCTGTGCCATTCGGGCCAACACATCCGACTTCAGTATGCCCATAATTAATCGGCTGATACGACGGGCTTGTTCGGGGGGGGGGGGGGGGCTGGGCAGTGGGTTCATCCCCCCTACTCAACTGCCTTTTATTCGCCTTCTTTCTTCTTCTTCTTCTTCTTCGTCTTCGCCGCACCCTTTTCTTGTACTTCTCACTCATTTGTTGTTTCTGTGAAGGGAACCTACTGTGAAACGCATGTTCACAACACATCTGAACGACATGTTTGTATTGGCCGACAGATCTGATTTCCTCAGATTGATGCAGAAATGTAAATCAAACGGGGATATATTACACAAGACAAACTGGCATGCCTTCGCAGTGCACTCTGGGAGAGCAATGTATATTTGTTTACTTGTTGACTGGAGTCTTTGCCTTAGTCACGTGAACACTTGATTCCCCTTGGTTCATCAAGAGTCGCGTGTCATGACAAACGATCTTCTTGTCTACGTGGGATCTGACACACAAGTCGCGGCAGTAAGCATCTTCTTTCTAAGACAATATTTATTGCCTCACTCGTCTAAATCACCAGTTAAACCAGGAGAGTGTAATGTCTGGCCTGCGGGTCGTATTCGGCCCGCGAAATTATTCAGCCAAGACCTGCCAGGTCAAAACTTTTCAAAAATGTAGGAATGAGGCACTTGGGTGTAGCCAGAGGGTCTGGCCGGCTCACTACACTCAGCGGAAAGGCAAGACGGACATATAACCAGATTGCGACCGGTACCATCAACTCTGCGCTCGCTGCTGAAGACGAGGACGGAACGCGCATAGGAATTTTATTTTATTTGCTGTCTGTGTAAGGAATTTAATATTTATTTTGGCTGACATTTTCTGTTAGGACTTTATTTTATCAGTGTCACCTTCTCTTCCTAGAACAGTATAATATATACATTTTAGGCGGGGTCCACCTTTAACGAGTTGAGTTGAGTAGAGTCAAGGATAATCATCAGAGCACACGGGGCATTTCTATGCATGCTCCGTTCTCATCTTCAGCAGGCAGCGCAGAGTTCCAGTACTGATGGCACCAGTCACAATCTTGTTAAAAGTCCGTCATGCCTTTCCTCTGAGTGTGGTGAGCCGGCCAAACCCTCTGGCTACACCCGGGTGTCTTGTTCACTCCAGGCCATAATAAAATTCTTTCTCTACTGATTCCGTTGCTAGATCCCAAAGGGCATTGACCACATAAGCATTGTCAGGTATCATTTTATCACATAGTAGTGCGGATCCAGCCGATCTGTCTGCCTGTTCATTTACCCACCACGCAGGCATAGCCTGGAGAAAAGATACAAAGTATGCTCACCACCCGTGACCTTTCCAGTGAAGCTTGCCACTCTGCTAGAAGCATCCCTGTCCTCACCTTTTTCAGCATGCTTTTAGTCTGCTACAATTACGACATGTGTATGCATCTCGTTCTTTAACCACCGGAGAGCTGCAGTTACCGCCTCCACCTCCATTCTCATGCTAGATGTTGTGGTGTCATATGCTAAGCTGTCTTGCACTAAAGATTTTCCACTCGCTTGTGCTACGAACCCCTAGGCACTTTTCTTTCCTCTCAACAATGAACCATCTGTATAGTTAATCAGATCACCTGGGCGCGAATTGTCGTGAATCAACTGTTGGACTTCAACCTCCGTAACACCCGCTGGCCACTCTCTGCACACCAGTTGTTGTTGTTGTTGTTGTTTTTCACAATCCATTCACATAATTAAAAGTTACATGATGATTGATACACAAAAGAGTTATATTTACAGAATATCATGCATTCATTTATCTTTTCTACTTCCCAATCCCTTTTTAACCATTGCATCTCACGCGCCTCGTCTCTCTCTCTCTCTCTCTCTCTCTCTCTCTCTCTCTCTCTATCTATCTATCTCTCTCTGTGTGCACCACCTTTAAAAAGTACAATGTTCCCTTCCCTGCCCTTAGGTAGTGTCACAGTAAAAGGTCACCCAAGGTCGCTGCCTGTTTTGTTTATAAATGGAGACTGAGGGACATTTTAACCCCATCTGGACCGCACCACAGACGATAAACACCCAATGACAGCCGAAATGGTGCTTATTTTTCCATGAGTTGGTAAACTTTATGTTAGGAAATGAGTGTGTGTATATATATATATCCCTGTCTCCCTTTCCAGTCTTTCACTCGCTACCATCACAAGTCGCATCTCTAATCCACTGCTCTCCAGCATGCATACACCTTAACGGAAATACTGATGCTCTCTCCTTCTCGTCTTCACCGGCTGTAAACTCCGGTGGAAAGTTCTGGTATTTTGTCCACTTCTGGACTTTGGTCTTATTCCAAAATTTGAGTTGTGCTCACATGTATACTCACAACCAAACTCTTTAGTAATATGATGCAGGCTATGTATAATTGATATTGTTATATCCCATGTTGTAGGAGTTACGGTTCCTTGTCTGGCGTGCTCCTACACATTCGCGGGCGATGGGACCAGAGACCGAGAGTGTGTCACCGATGTGCTCAGTAACGCTCACACTAAAGTGGTCAACTGTACCTCGGGTCGATGCTACATCAAGGCTGTCTATGCTCATGGTAAGTGGCAGGGGTTTGTGTCCAATGCTCTGGCGTTGTTTCTGTGAGAGACTAATAGGCTGTGTGTGAATAGTTCAGCAAGAGAAACTATTGCTGTCGTGGTAAATGATTGAGTAGAAAGTGCTGTACCGAAACGATAATTCATTTTTTTTAACTGCAATGTTGTCCCTACAGTGGACTTGGTTGCAATATGTCCACAGTTAACTATAGGAATACGGTTCCGGTCCAAATGGACGTTAGGCATGGACACTGTTGTGAGCCGTGACAATTTTTGTGTGTGCTTCTGCCACACAGTGGCCGGCGCATTTTTGCTCCATTTGTAGACTGAAAGGATATAGTTTCGTCGCCCAGCTTCTGAGTTGAGTGCATGGCGTGACACTGTTAGCTGCTGATTTCATTTGGAATGTTTTTTTTTTTACTGTGACCAACGTAGTGGTGTGAATTGTAGATTCAGAAAATGGCGCGATGCCTGTTGTCGCAAAATTGGTGGTGCCATTATGTGATTAAAATTGATCGCGTGTGCAACTGCTGATCTGTTGGTGACTTCTGCTACCATCCATGATGAACTGCATTTCTAATGTCGGACTGTTTGTGTTAGCACTTCGGATGGCTACCGTATGCTTTTAATGCGTGTGTATGCTAGATTTGCTGAGACAGCAGTTTGTCAATCTTTCCACAAGGGACTGTGATAAACATTCTGTGTGTTTTTCGTTGGCACATGAGCGGAGCAACTATGGGCTGACCCGTTAGCTATAAATCTGAAACTAAGATTACCAGATAGGAATACAGTATTACTTAGTGACGCCCCAAACTCTTCTACGCTCCGACTTTCACTAGTCTGAAAGCAGAGTTTTTTCTTCTTCTAAAAAGCCCACTGAGGGATTTGAACCATGATGAGAATCGAGGACGGTATTATGAAACGATTTCATTTACCACTGAGCCACGGAGCCGCACTTTGACGATTGACTGGATAGAGATCAGTGGACTGATGACTAATATTGAAACTAGTGTCTTCCCAGGATATCCTACAGACTAATGTCTGTCCAGGATGTCCCACAGACTAATGTCTGTCCAGGATGTCCCACAGACTAATGTCTGTCCATGATGTCCCACAGACTAATGTCTGTCCAGGATGTCCCACAGACTAATGTCTGTCCATGATGTCCCACAGACTAGTGTCTGTCCAGGATATGTGACATACTAGTGTCTGTCCAGGATATGTGACATACTAGTGTCTGTCCAGGATATGTGACACGCTAGTGTCTGTCCAGGATATGTGACACATTAGTGTCTCTCCAGGATATGTGACACATTAGTGTCTGTCCAGGATATGTGACATACTAGTGTCTGTCCAGGATATGTGACACGCTAGTGTCTGTCCAGGATATGTGACACGCTAGTGTCTGTCCAGGATATGTGACACACTAGTATCTGTCCAGGATATGTGACATACTAGTGTCTGTCCAGGATATGTGACATACTAGTGTCTGTTTATCTTATGTGACACACTAGTGTCTGTCCAGGATATGTGACACACTAGTGTCTGTCCAGGATATGTGACATACTAGTGTCTGTCCAGGATATGTGACATACTAGTGTCTGTTCATGTTATGTGACACACTAGTGTCTGTCCAGGATATGTGACACGCTAGTGTCTGTCTAGGATATGTGACATACTAGTGTCTGTCCAGGATATGTGACATACTAGTGTCTGTCCAGGATATGTGACATACTAGTGTCTGTCCAGGATATGCGACACACTAGTGTCTGTCCAGGATATGTGACACGCTAGTGTCTGTCCAGGATATTTGACATGCTAGTGTCTGTCTAGGATATGTGACACACTAGTGTCTGTCCAGGATATGTGACACACTAGTGTCTGTCCAGGATATGGGACACGCTAGTGTCTGTCCAGGATATGTAACACACTAGTGTCTGTCCAGGATATGTGACACACTAGTGTCTGTCCAGGATATGTGACACACTAGTGTCTGTCCAGGATATGTGACACGCTAGTGTCTGTCCAGGATATGTGACACGCTAGTGTCTGTCCAGGATATGTGACACACTAGTGTCTGTCCAGGATATGTGACACACTAGTGTCTGTCCAGGATATGTGACATGCTAGTGTCTGTCCAGGATATGGGACACGCTAGTGTCTGTCCAGGATATGTGACACACTAGTGTCTGTCCAGGATATGTGACATGCTAGTGTCTGTCCAGGATATGGGACACGCTAGTGTCTGTCCAGGATATGGGACACGCTAGTGTCTGTCTAGGATATGTGACACACTAGTGTCTGTCCAGGATATGGGACACGCTAGTGTCTGTCTAGGATATGTGACACGCTAGTGTCTGTCCAAGATATGGGACACACTAGTGTCTTCCAGGATATGTGACACGCTAGTGTCTGTCCAGGATATGGGACACGCTAGTGTCTGTCTAGGATATGTGACACGCTAGTGTCTGTCTAGGGTATGTGACACACTAGTGTCTGTCCAGGATATGTGACACACTAGTGTCTGTCCAGGATATGTGACACACTAGTGTCTGTCCAGGATATGTGACACACTAGTGTCTGTCTAGGATATGTGACACGTTAGTGTCTGTCTAGGATATATCACACGCTAGTATCTGTCCATGATATGTGACACACTAGTGTCTGTCTAGGGTATGTGACATGCTAGTGTCTGTCCAGGATATGTGACATGCTAGTGTCTGTCCAGGATATGTGACACGCTAGTGTCTGTCTAGGATATGTGACATGCTAGTGTCTGTCTAGGATATGTGACACGCTAGTGTCTGTCCAGGATATGTGACACACTAGTGTCTGTCTAGGATATGTGACATACTAGTGTCTGTCTAGGATATGTGACATGCTAGTGTCTGTCTAGGATATGTGACACACTAGTGTCTGTCCAGGATATGTGACACGCTAGTGTCTGTCTAGGATATGTAACATATTAGTGTCTGTCTAGGATATGTAACACATTAGTGTCTGTCTAGGATATGTAACACATTAGTGTCTGTCTAGGATATGTAACACATTAGTGTCTGTTTAGGATATGTAACACATTAGTGTCTGTCTAGGATATGTAACACATTAGTGTCTGTCTAGGATATGTAACACATTAGTGTCTGTCCAGGATATGGGACACGCTAGTGTCTGTCCAGGATATGTGATATGCTAGTGTCTGTCCAGGATATGGGACACATTAGTCTCTGTCCAGGATATGGGACACATTAGTCTCTGTCCAGGATATGTGACATGCTATTGTATGTCCAGGATATGTGACACGCTAGTGTCTGTCTAGGATATGTGACATGCTAGTGTCTGTCCAGGTTATGTGACATAGTAGTGTCTGTCTAGGATATGTGACACATTAGTGTCTGTCCAGGATATGTGACATGCTAGTGTCTGTCCAGGATATGTGACATGCAGGAGAAGGAAGGTCTTGGTCATTAAGACGTTCAACACTGAACCATCAGCCCCTCCAGGTGGGACAGAAGAAGAAATGTTAATCAGGACTGTGAGGCACCTCTTCATGTCACTGGGTAGAAGTGGAAAAACTAAACAAGATTGAAAAATACCTCTAGACCTCAGGATAAGAGTAATAAAGTACCTCTACATAACAGAGAAGATTTAACAAGGATGTAATGTTGAATAAATACTCAACATCACAGCATTCAGGAAACTCCCATAAGTGCTTCATCTCAATCCTCAGCAGCAAGCGAAGAGTTATATTTCCAACGATACTAGTAACTGTCTGATTGTATATCAGTCATGCACTTCTCTTGATGTTGAGCGTCGGCCAGATCCCCTGGTAACTCCTCAAACTATTCTTCTCAGACCTCACTTAACTATTTTGAACTACACAGAGACCTCTGAAGCGATGCTTGCCACTCTGCATGAAGCATGCCTGTCTCCCCCTTTCTCAACATGCTCTCTGAGTTACAATTATAACATGTGTGTTTAGCTGATTTTCAGGCCAGCGATAGGCAGCAGGACTGCCTCCACCTCGATTCTCAGGACGTTATATCATTTGCCAGGCTTTGCTGAACTAAGTGACATCTATTTGCTTTTGCAAAGAACACCATAGGTACCTCTACATCCCAATGTAGAAGAGGAAAGACTAAAAAGACTCCACGGTGCATTGATGGTCAAAGAAGAACAATCTATTAAATGTTAACAATAACAGAAACATTATTGGTGTCATCCCCAGATTATCTGAAGCTAGACTCGCTCAGTCGTGGGTGCAATTTTGACACATCGGACTCCGATAAATGTGACCCACCAACTAGCATGATCCCCACCTGCCAGATGGTCTGTTCCAGTGACCAGTGTAACAGCCAACATGGCGACATCTGGAGCAGCAAGAAGCATGACAACGGAGATGCCAGTTTGGCTCACTGTAACCATTACCTTGTTTTTGTTGGCCTATTTTTTTGTGTTGGTTTTCAAACAAGCATTTGCAGAACAGTGAATTAATTTTTCTGGCATGTTGGATCTTTATTTTTTTTTTTTAGAAAGGCCACACACACACAAAATAGTAATTATAATTATATAACATTGGAAAGTCTATGAGAATATTTGTAATTAATTATTCTTTGGCCACAGCTAATCAAGTAAACTATCTCCCCCGTTGGGCCACAAGCAGATACCCCGGAGTACTAAAATGAATCTCATCAGAACTAATTTTTGGCCAACAACACAATGCTATCAATGGCTTATGTGGAGACTTATACCCTCTAATGAACGTTAAATTGAGACAACAGAGATAAATTGCCTTAGAAGAGCTGCAGGAGTTCAAAAAAAAAGACAGAACACAAAATTGGAAGAATGCTAGGAATAAAACCAGTCTTACAGGTCATCAAAGAACAACAAATGAAGTAGTTTGGACACCTAACAAGAATGCCCTGGTACTATCTACCACAGCAAGCCACGCTAAAACATTATAACAGGTATAGAGCGAACGGAACAGAGCTCATCAATGAATGTTACATCTCCCCCGACACTTCGCTGAGGTACAAGGTGGAAGAGAAGAATAATTATTCTTTGTCACTTCGTCTTTTACTATTTCGGGTGTCTAGAATGTCTTCTGGCACCCCCCTAGATTCTTGATATTCTTGTAGAGTTTTTCTGATGTTATTTTTCCATTTTGGTCTTAGTCTACCCCAGACAACCTTCCTGTTCTCTTTTGGTATATGCCTTGAATGGCATCACAACACAATGTAGTGTTCACAGTTTAGAATTACACAGAAAATCAATGTGGGTATGTGAGGAACAAATGTAAATACAATCGTTGGATTTTTCTTTATTTCCTTTTTGTCTTCACTGGCTGTAAACTTCAGTGGAAAGTTCATTCACTTGTGGACTTTTGTTCCGGAATTTGACTTTTGTCAATACACTCTGCCTCTGAAGGGAACATCCTTTTTCTTCTCAGTATTCACCAGTTGTAAACTCTGGCAGAAAGTTCTGGATGTTTGTCCACTCACTTTGGTCTTCATCCAGAATTTGAGTTTTGTGTGCACATCCATTTTCAGATCTAGTTTATTTGTGTGCCACAGTTGGTTCTTCATCACTCAGACTTCGAAGGAAACTTCCCTAATTAGTTGACTCTTATTCCCTGCTTGCTAGAAGGGCTGTGGATCTACTTGTCCTCCAAAGTGAAGCCATGAAACCCACATATGGATAAACATTCTTAACTAGTCAGTTTTTATGTAATGCTTGTTGGGGGGTGGGAGGCATTGGACCAATTTGTTTTCTCCACAGAACGTGCCCTGCAACCGACACTAGGAGTTTTATTTTTATTGTTAAACATGTCTTTGTTCAAATAAAATGTGTTTGTACGTATAAAACTATGTACTTGTATATGTATAAACTACATCTTTGTAGGTAATCTGTGTCTATGCACATGATGCATCATGTTTGGTTGTACAAACAACGCTTGCATGTGTATTATGATGGAATGCTTCATTCATACATTCTTCTTCTTCTTTTTCTGCATTCACATTTAAAAGGGTCGTTGGTGTGAACAAGATCAAATCATACCAACTTCTAACCAGTCACAAAATGAATAAGAACAAATCATAACATCTAAATAGTCACAACATGAGCAAAGAACAAATCACACCAACATCTAACCTGTCAAAACATGGGCAACAACAAATCACACTAATGTCTAACCAGTCACAGCATGAGCAAGAACAAATTACACAAACAGCTAACCAGTCACCACACGAACAAGAACAAATCACACCAAAGTCTAACCAGTCACAACATGAGCAAAAACAAATCACACCAACATCTAACCAGTCACAACATGAGCAAAAACAAATCACACCAACATCTAACCAGTCACAACATTAGCAAAAACAAATCACACCAAAGTCTAACCAGTCACAACATGAGCAAGAACAAATCACATAAACATTTAACCAGTCACAAAAAGAACAAATCACAACATCTAACCAGTCACAACATGAACAAAAACAAATCTAACCAGCAACAGCATCAGCAAGAAAAAACCAACATCTAACCAGTCACAGAATTATTATGAACAAATCACACCAAAACCTAACCAGTCACAATAAGAACGAATCACACCAACATCTAACCAGTCACAACATGAGCAAGAAAAAAATCACACCAAAATCTAACCAGTCACAATAAGAACAAACCACACTAATTTCTAACCAGTCACAACATGAGCAAGAACAAATCACACCAACATCTAACCAGTCACAATAAGAACAAATCACACCAACATCTAACCAGTTATAACATGAATAAATCACACCAACATCTACCCGGTCATAACATGAACAAATCACACAAACATCTACCCGGTCATAACATGAACAAATCACACAAACATCTACCCGGTCATAACATGAACAAATCACACAAACATCTACCCGGTCATAACATAAACAAATCACACAAACATCTAACTAGTCATAACATGAACAAATCACACCAACATCTAACTAGTCATAACATGAACAAATCACACCAACATCTAACTAGTCATAACATGAACAAATCACACAAACATCTACCCGGTCATAACATGAACAAATCACATTACCATCTAACTAGTCATAACATGAACAAATCACACAAACATCTAACCAGTCATAACATGAACAAATCACATTACCATCTAACTAGTCATAACATGAACAAATCACACAAACATCTAACCAGTCATAACATGAACAAATCACATTACCATCTAACTAGTCATAACATGAACAAATCACACAAACATCTAACCAGTCATAACATGAACAAATCACACAAACATCTAACCAGTCATAACATGAACAAATCACATTACCATCTAACTAGTCATAACATGAACAAATCACACAAACATCTAACCAGTCATAACATGAACAAATCACACAAACATCTAACTAGTCATAACATGAACAAATCACATTACCATCTAACTAGTCATAACATGAACAAATCACACAAACATCTAACCAGTCATAACATGAACAAATCACACAAACATCTAACCAGTCATAACATGAACAAAACACATTACCATCTAACTAGTCATAACATGAACAAATCACACTACCATCTAACTAGTCATAACATGAACAAATCACACAAACATCTAACCAGTCATAACATGAACAAATCACATTACCATCTAACTAGTCATAACATGAACAAATCACACAAACATCTAACCAGTCATAACATGAACAAATCACACAAACATCTAACTAGTCATAACATGAACAAACCACACTAATTTCTAACCAGTCACAACATGAGCAAGAACAAATCACACCAACATCTAACCAGTCACAATAAGAACAAATCACACCAACATCTAACCAGTTATAACATGAATAAATCACACTAACATCTACCCGGTCATAACAAGAACAAATCACACAAACATCTACCCGGTCATAACATGAACAAATCACACAAACATCTACCCGGTCATAACATGAACAAATCACACAAACATCTACCCGGTCATAACATGAACAAATCACACAAACATCTACCCGGTCATAACATGAACAAATCACACAAACATCTAACTAGTCATAACATGAACAAATCACACCAACATCTAACTAGTCATAACATGAACAAATCACACCAACATCTAACTAGTCATAACATGAACAAATCACACAAACATCTACCCGGTCATAACATGAACAAATCACATTACCATCTAACTAGTTATAACATGAACAAATCACACAAACATCTAACCAGTCATAACATGAACAAATCACATTACCATCTAACTAGTCATAACATGAACAAATCACACAAACATCTAACCAGTCATAACATGAACAAATCACATCAACATCTACCCGGTCATAACATGAACAAATCACACAAACATCTACCCGGTCATAACATGAACAAATCACACAAACATCTACCCGGTCATAACATGAACAAATCACACAAACATCTACCCGGTCATAACATGAACAAATCACACAAACATCTAACTAGTCATAACATGAACAAATCACACCAACATCTAACTAGTCATAACATGAACAAATCACACCAACATCTAACTAGTCATAACATGAACAAATCACACAAACATCTACCCGGTCATAACATGAACAAATCACATTACCATCTAACTAGTCATAACATGAACAAATCACACAAACATCTAACCAGTCATAATATGAACAAATCACATTACCATCTAACTAGTCATAACATGAACAAATCACACAAACATCTAACCAGTCATAACATGAACAAATCACATTACCATCTAACTAGTCATAACATGAACAAATCACACAAACATCTAACCAGTCATAACATGAACAAATCACACAAACATCTAACCAGTCATAACATGAACAAATCACATTACCATCTAACTAGTCATAACATGAACAAATCACACAAACATCTAACCAGTCATAACATGAACAAATCACACCAACATCTACCCGGTCATAACATGAACAAATCACACAAACATCTACCCGGTCATAACATGAACAAACCACACAAACATCTACCCGGTCATAACATGAACAAATCACACAAACATCTACCCGGTCATAACATGAACAAATCACACAAACATCTAACTAGTCATAACATGAACAAATCACACCAACATCTAACTAGTCATAACATGAACAAATCACACCAACATCTAACTAGTCATAACATGAACAAATCACACAAACATCTACCCGGCCATAACATGAACAAATCACATTACCATCTAACTAGTCATAACATGAACAAATCACACAAACATCTAACCAGTCATAACATGAACAAATCACATTACCATCTAACTAGTCATAACATGAACAAATCACACAAACATCTAACCAGTCATAACATGAACAAATCACACCATCTAACAATAACTACCCGGTCATAACATGAACAAATCACACAAACATCTACCCGGTCATAACATGAACAAATCACACAAACATCTACCC